CCTTGGTGTGTTCTAATTGAGGGTCTTCATCCTAAGCATGGCGAGCTGTATCGAGTGTGGCCAAGCTAGGGCTCGCCCCATTAATGTGGCAGTTTTGCAGCCATGTTGCGAGAGAGTGCATTTTAGCAACCTGCGAAGGGGACGATGGGTCTGTGTTGAGGAGTCACGTGCGACTTGCGCAGCAGGGAGAGAAAGCGGAGAGGAAGCAGAATAGAGCGAGTTGCGGTGAGGTGAGGCGAGGTGAGGTGAGGTGAGGTGCGATGGACAGAATGGTCCGAGAGGGGGTGAAAGTGGTGATCCCTTTTTTTTCTGTGGATGACCAATGCACGCAAAGTACTGCAAACTCCTTTGTTGTGCATGGCAATAAAGTACTGAAGGAAGATTTTTATACCTGAGATGAGAATTTGGATTTACTAGTAGTTACATGGAGCTGGCAGTAATCGGGGCCGTAATAAAAATCCATCCTTGGAGCATCCGAGGTGAGAGGCTGCGGAGAACAGGTTGTCTGTTTACTGGGTTGTTTTTTCTGTTGCGAGGCCGTTGCGAGGCCGTTGTTCGGCATAATCCCGGAACACCTACTAGAATTCCGCCATGTTTGCACGCTTACACCCCTTTCGTTGATCCATCCGTTACACTATATCCACGACATCGTACATTGAGATAGATGAATTCATCCTTGCATTGCTGCGTCCCTCCTCCATATTCATCTTAGAAAACAAAGCACGTACGGGCGCCATGCCCCGTCGCCCATCGCCACACAGCACGAACCAGGGTAAATACGCTAAAACATCATAATTTAAAAAAAATTCCAACGTCCTCCGCCATCCATTTAAGGGCCTGTTTCCCCTGTCCAACTAATCTAACGGGAGCGGTCTTGGTGCTATTTTGCTGGTGACATGTTCATTATTCCTATTAATAACGCTGTATTGTGGTCGCTTGTCCTTGCAGCATCGCATTTCTGCGAGGGGCTGCTTAATAATCCTGTCGTCGTTATTCGTGTTTTTTTCTAAATGCTGTTGCTGTTTGCGTTTCCGTGCACTCCGGAACAAATTATGTACAATTCCTCTAAGTCTTTCTGTCAGTCTGAGGAGGGCTGTGACACCCAGTTGAGGTGGCGACGGCAAGTTTGGCAGCGGCGATAGCAGCGGTACAGCAGGTACGGCGGCGGCGTGAAGAGTACAAGTGCCGTGCTGGCTGTACGTGCCGTAGTGTCCCCTCGATGGAGGGGTCCCTTCCTGTGGTTGAACCGCAGGCTTGGACGGAGCTGAGGTTGAAATTAATTACCCGCTGCCATTTGTCCTCGTGTGGCATATATGACATATATATATATGTTCACATAGACACGTGCATCTCACGTTACGCTGTAAGACACATCTCCCATCATAGGATATGCGGCACGGTGTGTGGGTTGCCGGGGGTTGAAGGGGTTTCTCCCCGGGTTTCAGCTGAATGTGACGCAGGTCTGTCGCGTTGCTTGACTTGGTTTGGCTTGGATGTTGCTTCTGGATGAGGTTGTGGTAGGCTTCAACTCGCCAAACTTGACAGCTTGAAATCCGGATGGTGGCACAACTTAAGTATGCAGGGCCCCTGGCATTCTCGCGTATGAGCCGATCGATGGTCCAATCCCACACGACCCGCCCACGACCTCAACAAGGCACTTGAGGTTGCTTCATTTTCTCAGTGTCCTCTTGCCTGCCTTTGCCGTCGGCTTGTCGGCATGTCATGATGTCGGCCGCAGTAGCATCACGCAGTACGACCGTTAGGGGCTCTTAATTTGGCAGTTTGGCAGCCCTGTCGGTTAGAAAATGGGAGAGGCATTGGAAGTTTTTTTTGGCGTCGCATCCGGTCACACATGGCACACAGCAGGTCTCACTGGCCCTTCCTGGAGCAGCTTGGGCCCTTTCTGTCCGTTTCATCCTGAGGGAGGTTTGTACGGCGGGAGATCTGTAAGGGAGGATGCTGCGCATTGCATATGTAAGGGCGAAGCCTAAAGAGGAAAGACATACAGGAATCTACTTGAAGGGGCTGTCTGTCTGTTGGAGCCGCCTGCTGCCGGTTCAGCTCCGGACGTGCATGTGCAACTCCTACGCATGGACCCTGTAGATGCGGGGCGCTTTATTATGCGCGAGTACGCGTGTCTACGACTCGGTGCAATGTGCATATGCTGTCATATTGGTTTTCCCTAACTTGACGTCACGCATGTCACCGACGTCACGCACAGCAGGCGGTGAGGACAGGCTGAGCTAGGCTGTGCTGGCTGTGTACGGCATATTCAGACATATAAAGAGATAAATAAGCTAAATAATAAGGTTTCAATATATGATACGGATTCAAGACGTCTATTACCGGAATAGCAAGAGTTGCATGAAGCTACCTAACCAACCGACAATAACAGATTTCATGCTACTGCTGCTTGCCTTGTACGACAGCTTCTTGAGCTACACTTGCTTGGGACGTGTTACCATGTGGAGGAT